GTGGAACTACTCTTATCGCCATGCTATTTAATTGTGATATTATTAAAGTGTAACTTCCCCAATGGGACATGAGTTAGGAACGTTAGAACAAGTGTACAGGGCATAAGAGTGATTCATCAGAGGGATGCAGAGGTAGACGTGTGTAACAGACTGCAGAGGGTGTGTCTAGATGCAGGGATGTGTAAAGATATATATATATATATGTATGCAGGGGATAAGAGAGGTGTAGTGGAGATACATGGATGAGTGGAATAGGGAAAAGAGGAGACTAGCGACCCTCAACTGGGTGAAAAGAGAGGCAAAGATGAGGTCCAAAGAATCGCCTAGAAACGTGTAATATGTAATCTGACACCAGTCGGCTCTTTATAATGTATATAGCTCTATATTGATTGTTTATAACCAATATAGGGTAGCATAGGGTGAGAATGTGGGTTTCTGTTGATGTGATTTCTTTCCTTACCGCATTTCGCACCCGCGCCCTCCTGACAAACCCTGTTAACTGCGAGCACCTAGCCAATGAAGCAACGGCCGAGGAAGTAATTTAACCGTTTTCTTACCCCCCCTCCTGTTAAGGCAGTACACTAAGAGTACTAACCAAATGGATAAGTATCGATTAACAGGGAATATTTGCATGCCACTTTAATGTTTGTTTATTCTATGGAAAGAATTCATCGAAGCGTTAATTACTCAGTTTAACTAAAATAAGGGACCTCTGTAATTACAGAATATCACTTTCCTTTCTCAGATTAGTTATACAATTGACAACAAATATGAAGGGCATAAATGTTAGGGGGTCATTCGTTGTGCTTCACAAATGTGTTAAGTTTACACATAGCACTTTAAAAGACTTGCAAGAGAACAAGAGAAGTTCACATATCTGCAGTCCTAGCTGCAAACCAACTGACATGTGTGATCACTTTCAACTATTTACAGGTGTACCAAGAATATTTATATCGTCACATGTTTCACAAGAAAGTGTAAATTTCCATAGGATTCCTGCATATGAATGGCGTGAGCTATTGCAACCGCATATATTTCCTGATTAAGTTTCAAGATATCGATAAATAGGTTATATTCCTTTGAACCACACTGCACGCCAAGAACTTTCATAAAAAGGTCCATGTTCCTCAAAGTGCACTAATTTGTTTTCTGAGAAAAACAAAGGTATCATAATGAACTTTGCTAGAAGTTCCAGAACTTAATATTTCCAAGGCAATATTCACATTGATTTTTTTAAAAAATTCAGGTCAGGGTCAAGATCGCTCAGGTGTGATTGAGGTATTAAATGAGTCCCCCGTCGATGATCAAGAAGGATCAGACTGTTGACCAGAGTTGCATCGATTTTTATCACTACATCATGTTAAATGTCATTATTACCTTTCATACCGTTTAGTACTCTGCTTTCCATATTTCCAGCAGCCATAGTACTGGCAAATTTTCACTGTGCGGAACAGGCTTCATGGCTGACGGTAAATGCTGATATTGTGCCATATGCCTGCTTTTCAGTAATGAGTATTATGCATGTGAATCGGAAATATTAATCTATTAACTGGACTCCAAACAATCTTCATATAGTGAGGATAGTGAAATTCTGACCAGACCTACTTAGCGAGTTCGTCGAAGTCTTACATTTGCGATACAGAGTACTCATATGTGGGGTGACCCTCACCTTACTAAGGCCTGAACGTTTTGGCAGACTTTATTCATGTTCGATAATTATGAGTTCATCTGTCGTAGATCGGTGGCTGATGACAATGATCATTCTATTTCGAAAAATAGGGTACCTTCAGCAGGACCCACAAACACAAAAGTTGCGACTTTCTAGAAAAATGCTCTAATGATTTTCAACAAGTTTTGGATATTTATGGAGAACATCTCCTTGAATAGAACTTCATAGGTAACACCTTCAAAAAATAACAGTACACCCTCTATATGAGAATGTATTTTCATTGTCCGCACCAATTTTCAAAATATTTACCACAAATAATTTCAATATGGCGGGTGTATGAAACACACATCACTCGGCATAAAGTCCTGAAATTTCTCTTAGTAACAGGTCTCCAAAACGATCAGCAACTTCTGTTAAAAGTAATATTTTGAAATGCAGTACATACAGTGGCTTTGCAAAATGTATGTTCAGCTTTCTGTGTGGTGCTGAAGAAAACTGCATAATGGGGAGCTTCATAACTTTTAGTCCTCTGAAAGTGATGGAGAAAATGGTGGCTAGGCATATCAGGGACAGGGTGTTGAGGACATATCCTCTACACTGAAACCAGCATGCCTACCAAACGGCAAATCTACTGAAAACGCACTACACAATGTGGTAACACGCATAGAAAGTGTGATTGAACCTCATTTGATATAATCAAACAGGATGCTGGAAAGCATGGCATAGAGCCTGCAATATGCAGGTGGATCAGTGCTATGCTGGAAAGCAGAACCATAGCTGCTACATTATCAGGAGAAACCCTGGGTGTGTCCACGTCTAGGGGTTGTCCACAGGGGTGGGGGTGGGGGGTGCTCTCGCCTCTCCTGTGGGGACTTGATGATGATGGGTATTATACAGTAGGTTATGCTGATGGCATAGCAATCCTCATAAACGGAAAATTCCTTTTGAGAGTATCAAGGCGTCTTCAAACAGCTCTGTACATGGTCCAAAGATGGTGTGAAAGACCAAGTCTTTCCACCAAACCTAATAAGACAGTAATTATACAGTTTACTAGGAAGAGAAATATAAAGGGCCTTAAGGAACCGACTCTCTTCAATAAGACGATCCAGCTCTCCAGCGATGTCAGGTACCTTGGTCTAGTATTAGACAAGGGACTGACATGGAAAAAGCAGCTGGATAAGGTCATCAATAGAGCCTATAAGGCTTTTTGGAATTGCAGAAGCATGTTTGGCAATACTTGGGGACTGCAGCTGCATGTTGTGCATTGGATATTAACTGTGGTTGTAAGACCCATAATTATATATGATGGCCCAGAGTTAAACTCAAGACGAGTAAGGCAGAACTTAGCAAATTGCAAAGGTTGGCTTGCTTGGGTATCACAGGAGCAATTCGAACATCTACAACAGCTGCACTTGAGATACTCCTTGGACTCCCCTCACTGCATCTGCAGTTGCAGGCAGAGGCCAGGGAAGGAAACTACCGTCTCCAGTGCAGTGATCAATGGAAACCTAGATCTGATGGTTTCAGACATGCATACAAAACTCAGGACATGAAAGAAAGAACCCATATTATAAAAGGGGTCTGACAAAATGATACTGAGACAGAACTACAGAAATAGGAATACGTACCTACATTCTATCTGACAGTCAGGTTGCACTTAAAGCGCTTGACAAACACCAGATCAACTCAAAATTGGTCTGGGATTGCCACCAAACCCTCATGGAACTGGCCAAACATAACAGGGTACAACTGATATGGGTGCTGGAGCATGAGGGTATTGCTGGAAATGAAACAGCAGACCAACTGGCCAAGACTGGAGCTGAACATCCGTTCATAGGACCTGAACCAGCCTGTGACATCTCTGTAGGAGTTGCCAGGCAGGCAAAGGGACTCATACAAGGACCCTCTGAAAAAAGAGCAAAGGAACTGTTGAAGTTAAACAGGAACCAGCTACAACGGGTGGTGGGACTACTTACAGGACACTGTCACCTTAAAGGACACCTTTTCAAATTGGGACTAAATAACAGTCCCACTTGTGAGAGGTGTCAAGAAGAAAATGAAACAGCCACACATATCCTGTGAATGTGAGGCCTTAGCTTATTTAAGATTATGTCACTTGCGTCAATACTTCATAGAACCAAGTAACTATTTCAATGCCCCCACGTACAAATCCTGCGCTTCATTTGAATGAAGTGCAGGATTGCTGAGGGGATAATCAAAAGGGGAAGCACAATAGATCACTGTAGGTCACGGTGCAAGGGCCAAGAAGGCCCGCCCCTTATACATTCATTCATTCATTCATGTATGTCCATCAATGCTTAAATACAACATAATTTTTGACATATACCTTCATTTCAATGGACTGTTAAAGCTAAATATGTACAATAAAAATGTATCATACCATACCATGCCATAGCATAGTTGGTTGAGGCACTATGCTAAAAGCCAGAAGGTCATGGGATCGAATCCCGATGAGGTCATTGGATTTTTTTTCAATTTACCTAATCCTTCCAGCTGCACTATGGCCCTGGGGTTGACTCAGCCTCTAACAGAAATGAGTACCAGGAATATTCTTGGGAGTAAAGGGCAGCCAGCACATAGGGCTGACAACCTAACTGCCATCTATGAGCTGATTGTCTAGAAAATGTGGGAACCTCAACGGCCTGTTAAGGGATACTTTTACTTTACATACCATATAATAATGTATTATAATACATGTATAAATCCTGTATACACAGTACTAGTAACTACAGAACTCTTTACATCAAAGAGAAACATACTTTGGTATCTGTGTTTCTAAGGATTCATGAAACTTGAAGCCATTTAAGTCTGGGACTTAACTGTAATTGAATGACACATGTTTCAATAAAAATTAAAGGCAGTTGTGGGGGGAGGGGAGATGACACAATCATTCTTGGTAATGCAATTGTCATGAGTACATTTAAACATACATAATGATAAGTGGTGTGTTTTACACCATGGAACAAAGTCTGCAGTCAGCAATACACTGGGTACATTTTTTTTTTCCTTGTGTATTTAAACAATAACAAAACAGAAGCACAACAAAATGCATACAAATGTACATCAATCCTACAAACTATACTTTCTGACACAATATCAGTTTGTCATGACTACAATAAACTTTGCACTGTGTTCTTTAATAACTGGAATGAGACATGATATAAAAATAAACCAGTTCATAGCTAAATGCTATATAGTATGAACATCATAAATTGTTGGTGCTACAATGTCAAAGAATGTTATGTATATAAAAATGGAATTTGAGTGCAAAGTGTGTGTGTGTGTGTATGGAGAACTAAACATTTCAATATAAGAACACAGACAATTCAATGTTTTAAGCCAAGGTGGTCAACTGTGCCATAATCAAATTAATTTTTTACTATAAAATGTATGTACTTATTAGGGTAACATTTCTCTAATTACAAATTAGTCCATGCATTGCCCAGTTCTGGCTAACAGCTTCCACACTTAATTGTTCATTATTTAATGATGCTGTCAGTATCTCAGGCTACATAGTGCCAACTGCTAGGATGACTGGTGAATAAATAGAAAGGATGTGCAATGAAGTGGCCATGGGGATATGTAAAACCCAGAAGGATGGTTGGGGTCTCAGTCAAGATCTGAGCCAGGCAGCTCCAGAATACAAGTCAGAAGCATTACTGCAAGAGACAACTTGCCAAAGTAAACCCTCCAGAATTTAGATTTGCATCATCATGTTAGAGAATGAAGGTATTTTTACATGCAGATGATAGAATAATTAAAAATTTTCCTTAACAAACAGATAAACATATGTGAATCACAAAACAGATTTAATGGCAGTGAAATATATAACATTTATTTTTAAATAAAATAAATTATCTAAAATGCCATCCTCTTGTGAGAAATAAAATAACTTCTGGGTGCACTGAATTATTACTCTGAAGGTATTTTAACCATTGTTGCAAATGTCACAAAGTACAGAAGACAATCATTAGTGATCAACTGTGATCAGCTATAACACATCTGGAATGGTCATGTGAGTTTTATGTGAAACTCAAAATACAGCATGTAGCTACATGACCAGACTGTTAGGGGATCAAGCAAGAGGCTAAAAGTGCTAGTACATCGTAGAATATTCTAAAATAAGGTATGGGATTCTGGGATGTCTCAGTAGTTGGGAGCTAAGTATTAACATTCTGGGATAGCACACAGCCTCTGGCCAGGGTATTCTGTAGACGGAGGCAGTGTTTCCCTATAAATGTTCGTATCTAACAAATTACATGGCACCAGTGCCCAGAGGACTGTGATCTTAATTTTCAATGCTCTGAAAACCTCAAATCTCATATTCATTGTAAAATACTGTACTATGTCACTGAAACAATGGCAGATTTTACTCAAGTTAATATTATATAAACAAATGTAATGTAAGAATAAAATGCAGATTAACTTTTCTCATTTCATGAAATCTGAAATGAAAAAAAAAAAACTGCTGAAATGAAGGTCACAGTCTTCAGCGATGTTATGCTGTACAATGTGATTGATAAGATTCCTTTGTTATATAAGATGGTACCTCCATAAAACAGTGATTTCTGAACTTATCCTCTTACGTACACCTTACCTCAAAAATTGGAACACATGAACCCCTGCCTAAAATTATATTTTTCTTTCACACAAATTTCTTGACGTTGTGAACCAACTTTGCAACTCAAAGAGAAGACGAAGAACTAACACAAAACTGAACATCATTATTTTACATAATCATCACAGGCAATAACAAATCCATATATACTTTTTCCAGCCTCCTGAAACATTCCAGGTACTGTAAAGGATTTGGAATCAGCTGTCATTAAGTTAACTCTTTCATTGTCATGACACATAAATTTGTGCTTTTGCTAGGTACTCCTCAGAGGTCATGGTGCAATTATGTTACACAAGCATATTGAAAAGTGGTAAAAATCTTAAGCCAATGTCATCTCCTGCCTATCTCTTAATTGCTGAAACTTAGCAGGGATTCTTTTTTTTTTCTTTTGCTACTGTGAAACTATATGGCCTGACACAGTTGATGCACCAAGTAAATACCTGACTGTGAAAGACTTAACTGTTACAGACATCAATTATGCACCCAACCAAACTCTGTGATTTAAATAAAGGCTACAATTTCAACACATATGACCATGTATCAAATATTACTTGAGTCAAATGAAAATGTTTGGAATCACCATTTTCAAATGCATTAATACCAATAACACTAAAATGAGTTTGTTTATACAGTGTGCCACAATGAACATAAAGTGTCAAACAATTCAGTACTACTGAAATATAATTATGCTTAAATTTTACTGAATGGCTGCAAGTCACAAGAACAACACTCTAACCTGACTGTAATACAACAGAAGAACAAAACAATCAGATGTGTGAACCTCAGCAGTTAACCAGGCAGTATTCAACAGGTTTTCATGCACACAGAAATAAGACTTGAAGCTTCCACAGTGACAGAGCATGATAAAATCTTGGGTGGTCAGCTGCTAGAGTTTCAAGAATAAGTTCAGCATTTTGGAGACTTTATGTGCCTTCATCACCAGTTAATGAATCCTTATGATGGAGGCAGAGGAGGTCTCTGAAATGTCGAACTTCTGCTCTGTACTGATGTGTCTGGTCACCTGACAAGATTTTTATTAAATGCTGAAACATGCTGATACCCACATCAGAAAGCTCATGTAAAGAGGGAGTTGCTGCTCATGTCTAGACATAATCTGAATTTTTGTAAATCATTTCTCTCCACAGTGTGATCAGAACAACAATCTACCAGATGGATCCTAGTGGAACATGGTAATGGGGAAAAATACCCGGTAATTTTTTGGTCATTGTCACAAGAGAAATGCACTCTGTTTGTGTCAATGGCTACTGTGCTTCTTTGGACTCACAGTGCTACTGATAAGCCTACAGGCCACCAAATTGTAAAACAAAACCCACCCAATTCACAAACTGAAGGCAGATGTCAGAAATGCCCCCTCTTGTTATGAATCTCTCAAATATTCACATTCATGTGAAGTTCCCTTAAACCCTAGTCTCCCATGTAAGGCATCTGAACGATTTCTGTTGGAAACGTTCACCAATTCTATTTAGTTTTTCTTCAGTGAATGTCTGGAATTTCAATTTGGTTCTTTTCTGTCAATAATGGATTTGTCTGCCTAAACTTATTATGACTGTATAACATTTTTTTTCTATCTGGAACTGTGAAGACCTGAAACTTATCCTTACTTTTCACATGGATATCACACATGAACACTCACTTCAAAGTGTAACTCTTGCATGCCATTTTGATACATGAAGAACATGCCTGACTGAAGTTCAATACAATAGCAGGGGTTTGGGACTATAGATGATAGAAATTTATGCATGTATGCTACTGGTCTGTCAAACATGGTGCTTGTTGACATGAGTGATGTATCTCTTTTCTACTTGACTGGGCCAAAGATTTGTGGCAGGTTTTCAAATAACCCCCATGTGTACAGCCATTTGGAAGACTTATGCATAGAGAGGAGGATATAACAAGGAGTTCTGAGCAAAACTCATGAAGCCAACTTTCTGAATCCATATGGATTTCTAATCATGTTAAGTTATTATTGTTGCTTTATGTACAGGTTCTGTATATATTAAATTTGCTTGATATAACCTCAGAGCTTCAGATTATCACCAGGTTTGTAACTAATGTTTCATATATAACATGTAAGTTGTTATGTTCGTGATCTACCTCCATATCAAATTTCATATGCATAGTTTCAATGGTTTAATTAATAGTTACTATCATCATCCCATGGCCACCATGGTGTTACATATCACACAAGTTTGTGTATCTGCTGTGTAATTACTACTGACTAAGTAATTCAAAATTATGACACCAAGATGGCCTCCAATGGAATAAGAATCATACAGAGTTTGTGAAAATCAGTCAACTGATTCAAAAGTTGAAATGGGAGATACAGAGACATTATGGCGATCTCAAAAGCTTACTTTTTTCTTTAAAGCAGGATATAGTGTGGCACAGCAGAGTGAAAGCCAGTCTGAGAGAAATCTGATGGGAGGTTGTGGACTGAATTCACTTGGCTCAGGAGAAATGGCAGTGGGCCCACTCTTGTATGAACTTCAAGGTTCCATAAAATGCAGGGATCATCTTGACTTGCTGAGAGACAATTAGTTTCTTATGAAGGATTGTGCTGCATGGAGTTCCATGTCACTACGGGTAATTTCAAAGCTACATATATTCGGTATTTGCAATGCATTATGGGCAACTGATATTCTGTATGCTAACAGTATGTTTGCAGATTCCAAAAGTTCAACACTGCTGAGCCAGTTGCATCCAATTCAGATACTTGTAATCTCCTCAAGATCAATCTTAATATTATTCTCCAATTTTCTTCTTGGTCTTCCAAGTGGACACGTCTGAAGATGTTTCTTTTCCAAAATTCTGTACAAATTCGCTGTCTTCCTCATCCTAGACACATGCCTGCTCATCACAGTTTCTAGGACATTACCAATCTAACAGTACCATCTAACTCACAAAGTTCCTCATTATGTAATATGTTACTTATATCTTTCTGCAGCCCAAATATTTTCCTGAGCCCTCTGTTTTCAGATACTTGTAATTTAAGTTCTTTAGTAAATGCAAGAGACCTCATTTAACAACCATGCAAAATAACTGGATAAACTGTTTTCTATATCATGACTTAACATCTTGGAAACAGATGGGATGACGACACTTCTCCCACTGAATGATAACAAGCATTTACAGAGTTTATTCATGTCTTAATTTAATACTGAACCTTGCATTTCAGTGCTGTTTGCAGACACTTAATTTTGAAACATTTTAAAATGATTAATTACAGTTTTAAAATTTTTATTGATTTTCAATTTGCATCATGTGCCTTATTTAGTTCCATTTACATTTACTTCTTTACTTGTCTACAGGAGGTGTTCTGTGTAATTCTTTCATGTATTTATAATCTGCATAACAAACTGTCATTAGCATAAATATGCATGTCAGTTGGGCAAGTCATTTCCACCATTTTCTCTCTTTAATACAGACAAACTAAATGTTCATGTTGTGTTCTTGTCAGTAATGACATCATGTTGCTGTATCATAGGTGGGTACCCACATTTGCAAGAACATAAATGTCTCCATCTTCAGAGTTGAAGTCTGAAGAGGGCGGCAAAATCTTCCTCCAAAACAATGGTACCCACTTACTAGACTACAGCATAGTGCCATAACTCAGCAGACCACAATCTTCACCACTGTGAAAACTTCAGATCTTACAAATGAAATGCTGCATGTAACCTGTACATGTTAACATACTGGAGTATTAATATTTATACATTCAGAGATTTCACACATGCTTGCTATATCCAACCTCAGCATTCCACTGACAAATTCATCTCAATTACACTGCAACATCATGTTTACATTCAAAGACAAAAGACAACCCATTATGATAAGAAGATTAAACATATGGAGGCATGTACAAAAAACAGTTTAGGCCTTCATGCCTATTTTGTCAACTGCTGTAAGCGGACTCGCTGGCATCTTTTGTGACTATCCGTCCTGTTACATGTTCTTCTTACAGTGTGCTCACAAGTTTATGCCAAGAAACATATATTTTAGACATTTCTAACAGTCAATAACGTTGTCTGAAACAGAGACAGTATGCTCTATGTCTGTAAAAACCCCTAACATTATTTCAGTGTTAACCTGAGTACACACAGATTACTTCTTGAACACTGTGAGATCTGAGGGCCTTACAGGAGTGACTATGAAGAGTAATACCTTCTGGGATGTGATACCATTTAGTCTGGTAGAAGCTAATAATGTTTCAGAGGAATGTACTACCTCTCCTCAAGGGTGAAGAGCAAGCAGCAAGGAGAGTGCTTGCTCCTTGCTTACTCTTTCACCCTAAAGATAAAAGCAATACATTCCTCCAAAGTAAACTTCTATCAGGCTATATCACATCCCATAAAACAGTATTCTTCTTGAAAGCTCCTTTAAATGGTAGCCTGTCTGCCCTTCCAGCTATATTTAAACGACAGCATATTCCTGCTGTTGCAGTGTTATCTTATTTTTAGATCTCCTTTGGTGTATGCTCATAAGTAAAATGCATTCCTTGATCAAAGAAAGACATGGGTGCCATCTGTTGAAGATAAGGTGAAATACTAGCACAGTCTAAGTGATACTTTAAAAAAAAAGGCTCTCCAAAACATCTTAGACAGTACAAGTAGTCTGCACGTTTGGGCAGAGTAGCTCATGTCTCAGATGCATTCGTCAACAGTGGTTATGTGCAGTGACCACTCTGTGTTAGTCTGAGTATATACTATGGCATTACTGTTTATATATATGCCACCTACATATACTCATATACTCACATACCTCGTCTGATTGCAGTGTAAGAGGACTGGTGACCTCCTCACCACCAGACTGTGAGTGGAGGCTTCTGCATGCCCGGGATAACAGTCCTAACCAAAACACACAACTTCTGCAAGTCAGAAGGACTGCTGAGACTACTGTCTTCTGGGTGGTGACACTTGTGCATAGGTGCCATCCACAGGACAGCAGATGGAGGCAGCTATTCTTCCAAATTTTGGAACCTATCTACCACACTATACAGCATAAGACCACAGAAGACTTATCAAAATATTCACCACTGTGAGAACCTCAAACCTATGAAGGAGTGCTCTTTCCATTCTTTATATCTTTCTGTAAGTAGCTATGATGGAACAAAAGAAAATCAACATATTTATTTCTGCTATGATGCAGAGTAGATAGCTGTTATGTCAGACTGTGGTCAATGAATGCTCCAAGAAGCTACTGTTCAACAGCAACATACCACTTCTCAGTACAACTTAACTTAAACTGCCCAACACAGTAGCAAAATAAATTTGATAAACAATGCTTCATTGATGAATACATGTCGTCCATAGAAAAATCACATGTTCATTTTTGTAAAGAGGATAAATGCTTTTACAAGAAAAAAAAAACAATATATGGTATGAAATTATACCTTTAAACTTATCTACATGAATTGGTCACTGCTTTCTTGAGAAACATCTCATTTTATAGGCATACTGACCAATATAAAAAAAACCCCTAAAATCAAGCATGCTGCTTTCAAACACATCTGATGACTGACACCATAAAATGGTCTACAAAACAAAGTAGCATAGTATTATATGTTGAAATCACTGCTGAAAATGCTTCTGAGGGACAGCACGTGTTCATAAAAACCGAGAAAAACCACTTCCGAACAAAATATCTTCCCTAAAAGTATGAAAAACATGAGAGAAAATGTTACCTGCAGATATTAACTATATGTGTTTGCAGATGCATTTCAGACACATGTAAAAGACCCATATGAAGTTCATAACTAAATAAATATTAAGTAATGCACACTGATCATAACAAAATTTAATATGCTCACATTAATACCTGATTATGTACAGTAAGCATTTTTATTTCTTCTGCAAGCAGTTTACACATTAATCCACAAGTTCAACTTGTACTGAAAAGCCAAATAACCAGCTTATGACTCTAACTCAACTATTTCCTGGCAGTTTTACCCTTCTGAGAGCAAAGGGCATTCAAAGGCCATTAAATATATCATATGAAGAAGGTCTCAAGGGAATATATGCATTTAAGTAAGGTGGGGGGAAATATATATTTATACACATATATTAAATATGTTTCCATATTATAATTTAAATTTTTGTTTCCATAGTTCAGTTATTAATATAACTAGAAATCAGATGACGTCTGATCCATCAACGTTGAAGAAATTAGCCTGTAGCCAGCTACTGATACACAGTAACTGGACTTCTTAAGTGGGAAAGTTTCTTTAGTCTAACTGATAAAATTTTAATCTGTTTACCCCTATATGAGCTTTACCATGTTTATTCTGTAATTCATAATCATCATAATGATTTATAATCTTGAGAATGTACATAAAACACAACTTTCAAATTCCTATTTTAAAATACATTATTACCTCTCAAATAAACAATATATATATGAAAGTTGGTACTGTTACCATCATAAGAATCTAAATGCCAGTTCTCAGTGAAAATTACCAACTGTAACATTATGTGGATCATGGACTTGAAAAACAAGAATTTCTCTTTCAATTCGGCCCACAATGTGCATAGAACATCGAGTCAGTTTGTTGTATTTTATGTGTCTGTTATGCCTTTACTTTGATTCTATCTCACCACAGATTCCAAGTCAACTTATCAAACTTTTCATTTCAAACACAAATATTTATTCTTGCATTTATTGCATGATTAATTATGACTTCATTTTTATAAGAAAGAATACAGTGAGGCAAATATGTGAAATATGAAAGAACACTTTCCAAACAAAGTAAGAACTGAAAAATACTAAATATTTAATGTGACATTCCTATTCAGAAAATTGACTGTGTAAATTAAACACACACTGAATAAGTACATTTCTGTATCATGACATTCAAACACATTTTTGCAGTGAGATACTGATTAAAAAAGAGCAAAGAGGAGAACATGTGCAACAATTAAGATCTCAGGTAGACAACAGAAGATGATGACATATTACAGCTCATGAATATACCATCTTTGATGCTACAAAATCGAGACGAGTCAAAATGAATTTTAAGCAAGCCATGGCAAGAATATTACAGAGAAAATGAAGTAATTGTTTAGTTCCTCAAGACAGCATCTTTTGACTGTTCTGGCCTCTGTACACCTGAGTGAAGGCGTAAAGTCTCTATATTAGATGGAGACATTCATACAACAGATTCTGTTTCCCTCGGTGATATGACAGTCATAAAAATGATGGACAGCAGAGAAGACCTATGATATAAAATAGGCCCCGTGCCACAGGAGGGGGTCTGGTATTGTCCACATTCCGAAAGTTCTGACTTTGGTAGAGGCAAAAGTTTCAGTCTGTAAGATGATGAAATGTCTACACAGACCAGACTAGAGATAAAACTGAGAACTCTTTGACTGCAAGCCTACCCCCACACCCCTAGACAATGACATTAAGCAAATAATAAGTGTGTGACTGCACCTTAATTTGCACTTTCTCTTAAGTGAGGAACATTATTTATTTCTCAGGACACAAAAATTCCTAAGTTTGCGCGAACTGAATATCTCAATCTTCAGTTTTTCTTTGTGTTCATTTTTTTTGTACTGTTGATCGCGATGTTTCCGTGCTGTCCAATTTGAAGCTGCATGATGAGGGGCAGACCAGACAAAAACGAGTGGTGGAATGGAGGACAGAAGAATACTGGAGGTTGGCCTGTGAGGATGTAAAGTGTGACTGGAAGATTTTATGGGTGTAATAGTCAGTGATAGTGAGTGATAGCTGAGGAGTCAGCAGTGAAGACTTACTGTATGACCCCAAGACTTTATGTATGCAATGGTGCAGTGATACCAGAAGTGTAACTGAAAGAGCTTAGGTGTAATACTTGTAGTTATTTGAGTGCTAGTTTCTGTGCTGAGACCTGTTGCTAGGAGACGACTAGAAGAGACGGAGAATCCTAATGCGTGCGCAAAGGGGAACTGGAATGTGTGTAAAGCAGCAATAGAGCTGTAATCTGAGTGTAATAAGATAGAGTGTGTAACCAAGCTGTTAATAAATCCAATCATCCAAACTAAAACGCCTCATTTGGTCACGCATACCCCACCCTACACATGACAATACTTAACAATGTCTGAGAGGAACATGTTGCCTCCATTTTCAGATTATGTTACTTCTCATATCCTCAACATGGAGACAGTACTTTCCAGCGAAACAATGGGAGCTATCAACTGCACTACACGGTGTCATATCCCAGAAGACTCCAGTCTTAGTATTCAATGCTGTGAGAATCTCAAATCTCATTTTACTGAACTGTGAACATTGAACACTGAAGGACGCTATATAATGATGATTCTACTCGAGTCTGTTCAACAGCATCTCCCAAGCTCTTAAGGAGCAGTGTTGTGAGCAAGTGATGGCAGCATCTGTTGCTCTGCAGCCATGTCATCTTAGGCACTTGTACAGAGCTCACAGTCACTTATGTATCTTACTACCACTTATACTACACAGGCAGCAATAATATATAATATTTCTGTTGATGCATTTAAATGTGTATGAGCATGTGATATTTACAGAGGTATGATGATTCTAGGGGAAGGACTGCTTCGTTCCTCTCCTTTTTCTTTAATTGAATGTGATTATATGCATTTTCATGAGTATGTGTATGTGATGTCCAATGAATTACCCATCACGAAAGGAGCTTGGAGACATTTCCTACTGAATTCTTAAATTTCTTCACCAAAAACACTGGAAGTTTCAAATAAACTTTCTCTCACTTTCTTTAGGGATCTCTCGGTTTTATCTGTTACCAGGGTTCAACACGTGCTGTCTGCTAGTAGTCATTCTCTGTGTTGATGGTTGCGGAAACAGCTGATTCGAAAATGTCTGCACATTTGGCGTACCTGTAACGAAACAAGTTACAAAATTATAAGTTAACAAACAATTTGGGGCTATTTACTTCTGTCCATCATTCCAGTTCTCTATATAAAAAGAAAGCCACAACATTTCATAAATGTGTTGTATTTCTGTCTTCAGGGTGGAAAGGATATAATGAAATCCTTACTGTACTGGGCCCCTAAGCAGAGTAAGAATTTCTTCATACTGTCATATGACAGCTGAAAGCCAGAATAACTGAACAAGAGATGGCCACTGCTAGGCAACGGCGTGGTAAACACATTTCCACAGCAACAAATGAACATGCAACAACAGAGGAAATGTCGGAAGCGGTGTTTTACAAGTACAGTATGCGCCAAAACATACAGTACTGAAATGAAAACATGAATAATATTACCTTGTTGTCATCTGTGAGTTTATTTCTCCTGAAAGAAACTAACATACACAATATTAGTGTGTTGATTTACCACGGTATGCGTAATGTAGGTTTTTGAAGTGTGCACTGCCTCGCTGTAGACAGTGTTCATATCGTTCACACAGATTCTCAATCATATGCCAGAACAGAGGTTGCTGCAGACTCCTGCAAAAGGAGATGATTTGCTCGTGTAATACAGGCACAGCTCTTGGCGGATCTTCACAGTTGAACACACTCTCCTTTAACATTCCCCACAAATAGGCATCAGGTGGTGTAAGATCGGGTATGGGAAGTCAGTATCACTTGAAATGATTCGTCCTGGAAAGTTTTCCTGCAGCATGCCTAGAGATTCTCAAGTGGTATGGCTGGTCGCCCTGTCCTGTTGATACCACTGTCTATACTTGTGAAGGCCCCTTGCACGACAGAACCTTCTCAAATCCTGAAGAAATGGTCCCATCACCATGTCCTTGTAGCGTTCTTGGGTAACGGTAAGAGCATTGTTTTCTTCATTCTCTTTTGTCAAAGCAGTTACTGGTCGACCAGACTTGCCCTTCTGTTGACACAGTACACTACCAGAATGGCGAAATTTCATAACACTACACAGCATATAACTGTGTTACTTGGTGCCGTCTTATTAAATCTCTCTTGGAATTGTTCTGTCATCTTTTTCAAACTTGGTACCCCTTCACGACCACTTCCGTATGAGTGGAAATAATATTCAACTATGAATACTATTTCCTCCATCGAGAGACCCATTTCCAATAACTTCCTTTTCACTACTGGGAACATGTGTGGCTGGAGCTATGCCCTGTCGACAAATGCACATTCATGTTCAAAATGCACGAGTTTCAGTACTTGCAATTTTTGGGGCATACTGTACATGCAGTCCACACCAAGGGTATATAGCGAGGACCAATGGGAAAAGTTAGTCAGTTGGAGACAGTGGTTAGGAGCCTTGAGTTGCACTGTTAGCAGTCACTACCTAGCAATGACTAGTGGTGACAGAATAACAAACTGCATTTTATGTGTGCTGTAGTTGCAGTGGTCTAAAGAGTGGGAAATCTGTGAGAACATTATATTTATTCGTGGTTAAGTTGTAAGTGTTCAATAAATCCAACCCTGTGTCCAGTCCCTGACATGTGACAATATCCTGTCTACCTGAAGATGGAAATAGAATCCATTTACAAAATATTGTGGTTTTCTACATAAAAAACTGATTTGATGGACTAAATCCAAACTTAACCTTTTCCAGTTGCCACGTTTGGAAAAATTTCTGCAGCCAGGTCATCAAGGGATTTTAAATGCCTACAGAGCCGCTAAGTGAGCTGGTTTGCTTAAAAAGTTGGCACAACAAGGGCATAAAGCGGAGGAAAAAAAGAAAACAAAATGTGTACTTACTAGCACAATGGAAGAAGACAAATTCTCTGCCTTGCAGTGGTGTATGACATCAAGTGTGGAGAGAGGTTGTAGTGTTTTACTGGCTCAAATTGTCTGCAGTTCTCTAGTATAAAATATATGCATATTCCTTTCCTCTTATAACTCTCACACTTCTATGTACACAAACAAAAAACCCGATAAACTATGGGTTATATACTAAAACTTTTTGCAGTTCTTGAGAGTGTGATATCTTTCGAAACATTCCCCAGGACACATCACCAGTTGATTTGTGCACGTCTTACAACAGAAATGTGTTTCTTTTCTGGCTCCCTTGACCTTCTGATTGCCGCACACAATGCAGTCTTTGTGTTTCGTTTTTCCATAAAGTTAGAGCTGAGGCAGTGTATTTAGTCCCTGTTCTCTCTCAGCCGACCCTGGATGTGACCTCCTTTCTTGGATTGCACACACAGCCTGCTAGATTTTCAACAAGAGCTCATCGATACTTGACGTGTGACATTTGTTTCACTCCCATGTGTACTTAATGGCTGCTGCACAAAATATATGAATTTACAGTGCACACTTCGAGGCACCATAAAAAGAGCATTCTCCACCACAGAGATATACGAATGAAAGCACATGTTGCGCAGTAATGATCATGCGATCTACACCACCCATTTGCTTTATATACTCAAGTACACATTGGCTCTTGAATTTCTTTCTGCTGCCCCCTGTCTGAATGGTCACTATTTTGTCCATTGATGTGTCATGATATGTAGACATCATGAGAACCACCCTCTTGTCTTTCCAGCCCATTAGCAGGGCATTCCTTCTTCTGTAGGAGTGTCCCCCTCTTCATTTGCTTCATGGCCCCCTTCCTCAAGTGGTTTTGGACTGCGACCTCTACCAGCAATAATAGTGCCTGTTGTGTGGCATTTTCGACTGTTCAATTCTTGAGCCAATTGAACACTACTATAATATCTGTCAGTGAAAAGGCGGTAGCCTTTACCACCAGACACACTGAGATCTAGTCTGTCCATGAAGGAAAGAACTATTCTTGAAGTGAATGGTTTTCCTCAGTATGGCAAGTTACACATGTTCCGTAATATGGAATTGTACTGTGAACATAACCAGTGTCAGTCTCAGCTAATACAAATAGTCTGATGCCCCACTTTGTAGTTTTTTTTGGATTATAAGTTTTGACAATCACTTTGCTCTTGAACTCAACTGTTGATTCATCTATTGCAATGTTTTTACCTGGCAGAAAATATTTCTGGAACTGTTTCTCTATACATTCTATTACCCCATGTACTTTCCTTGTTCTTTTCATGGCCTGACTGCTTTCCTCGGTGGTATCATTTTCCACATGAATCATCCAAAATATCTGCAAAAAGCGAACTCTAAACATTAGATCACCAAAAAATGGTATCTGTGTTGCCCACTCACTAGGATAATGGCATCAGGCCCATATTTATAATTAGACCTAAAAATGACTTCATTTCAGAAACAGACACATCAGACCAGCTACTCTGAATGGTTCCCGGGCTAAGCTAAAGTACCAAAATTTTGTGTCTCGCATACCTGTTTGTCTCTATAACAAAGTTATTCAAAACCTCGTCATTGAAAAATAAACTAAAATAATTCATGGGCTCTGAATCTGGTACAAGGTTAAAATGTGGATATACCTTGGGTTTCTTGTCCCCCATCATCACATCTTCCCACCCATCAACACACATAACACTTGTTTCACTCTCGCTCTCACTTTCCAACATTTCATTGCTGGATTCTTCACTCACAGTTTCTTCTACATTTTCCAAATCCATCTGATCATCAGACCAGGCAATGACTTCCCTATCTACAGCTTCACCTTTGGGAAAATGTTCAGCCGAAATGTTTAAGAGGGCTGAACAAATGGAAGTCGCTTGGAGCAAGGTCGAGGCTATATGGACGATGCTCGAGGACTTCCCACTTGAAATTTCGCAGCATCTCATTTGTCTTTGTTGGCAGTATGGGGACACGCGTTGTCATGCAAGAGCAACGTGCCTTTGGTGAGGAGTCCTGGTCTCTTCTGTTGAATGGCCTTATGAAGTTTCCTGAGTATGTTATAGTAGGAGCTGGCATTTACGGTTTGTCTTCGAGGCTGGAATGCGGTGAGCAGTATGCGTTCATGATCCCAGTTACCGCCTGGTTCTGACAGCAGCCTAAAGAATTTTATGCTGCTGGTTTTCAGGGGCTCGTGAAATGATGGGACAAGTGCCTCAATGTACAGGGAGATTATATGGAGAAATAAAAGCATTTTTCAGATCAGTCCTCTTATTTGTTTAAGTTCTATATCCATTTGTAACTTACTTATTGACTTACCTAGGTAGAATTAAAACTTAAAGAAAAGTTTTATGGATGAACAAGAAAAAATGGTTCAGCCAGGTACTGGATAATAGCAAGAACACAGGAAATAGGTGGCAAAAAACTGATAACATATTTTATTTGATGTTTCTTCATTTAAATTTATTTTTATATAATAAAATAATTTGTGGGTGTTAGATCCAAATTATGATTTTCATAATTTTTGTAGGATCTGGGAAGAAAGAAAAGGTTGCACACTTTCTGTACAGTAATTCACACACAACAGAAATTGAGAAGGTTCAATCAGGGTTAGGGACTTCAGTCAAAGACCAACTGCACTACAAACAGAGCCAGCATTCCAAAAACCATCAACAGGGAACAAGTTGGATACAAGGAACTTTAGAATATTTACAAATATTTTTTACACACAATGTACCACCACAAAGCTTGTGGCATTACATTGTATGATGGTTGCCATTATTACAATTTTTACTGAATTTGTGTGTACTGAACTTTAAGTTGTTAATTTTTCCAGTGAAAACCGAATATCAAACTTTGCCTATAAAGCAGGAAAAACTGTGCCTATAATCTGCATTTCTGCCTGGCCATTTATTTGTATGTAACAACTTGAAAACCACTCAACAGATTTTCATGAATCTTGACAGGGGCTACTGTTACTACAATATGTCAATAAATTCCAATAAGGTCTACATGTTAAGATGTCCAGACTACGGATGGAGACAGAGTCCAGACTCTGAAATGTTTTATATAAAAAACTGGACGATGGATAATACACAAAAAGTCAATAATTGTAATAAATTCCGAGTCTGGTTAAATTCAGCCACTTAACAGACAATTTACATGAAAACCACATGTTTCTGTCAGTGACCACAAAAGAATGTACAGGGTTATTCAAAAAGAATGAACTGATTTAATGACGCATTGCTTCAGTTCTCAAGCATCGTCATGGAATGAGTCAGTGACCATTTGAAAGAGGAGTTATCTAAGTTGTGAATGGCTGCCACAGGGGCGCTAAAGTCGCATCGTTCTTCTGGCAACGTTCAGTTGTTCATTTACCCTCGGAATGGCGAGTCCTCAGCAAAAGGCGTTCTGCGTTCTCGAGTTCGCGAAAACAAATTTGGTTGTCACGGTGCAGCATGCTTTTCGAAGGCGATCCGGCATTAATCCGCCCTGTCCTAAGAACATTCGACAGTTTCAAGAGAGTGGGTGTCTGTGTAAAGGAAAGAGGCCAGGACAACCATGACTCTTGGAGGAACAAGTGGGGAGAATCCATGCTGCATTTGAGAGCAGCCCATGGAAGTCAATAAATCGAGCTAGCCGTGAGCTTGTGATCCCTCAATCCACTGTCTGGCGTGTGCTAACAGTACGTCTACATTTGAAACCATAGAGACTGCAGCTCGTTCAGGCACTTACCAATGACGACAAAAGGAAGCGGATGGAATTTTGCGATTTGATGCTGGAGATGATGGAAGACGAAACCTTCATTTCACGTTTAATTTTTAGTGATGAAGCGACTTTTCACTTGAGCGGCACAGTCAATCATCACAATGTGCGTACGTGTATTTGGGGAACAGAGCACCCACATGAAACAGTTGAGCATGAAAGAGATTCCCCTAAGGTGAACGTCTTCTGTGCTGTGTCTCAGGACAAGGTTTATGGTCCCTTTTTCTTTGAAGGAAACACTGTTACAGGAAAAAACTATCTTGATATGGTCCAAAACTGGCTCTTCACTTCACTGCAAGCAGATTTGCATGACTTCATTTTTCAACAAGATGGAGCACCGCCCCATTGGCATCTGATGGCCCGAGATTTTTTAAATGAAAAAGTGCCCCAGCAATGGATTGGTCGGAAGGGGGCCAAAGACCTTGGTCTTTGTGCTTGGGCTGCGAGATCCTCAGACCTCACCACGTGTGATTTCTTCTTGTGGGGATATGTAAAAGATCACATTTATGTTCCACCATTACCCACTAGCCCGATGACCTTAAACATCGAATAACAACAGCGATTAACTCAGTGCATCGTGATATGCTGATACGCGCCTGGGAGGAATTCTCTTATCGCATTGATGCTGCCCGTGCTGCAGGTGGTGGTCACATTGAACACTTGTAAGACAGGAAATAAAAGTTGATTGTGAGTAGAATACTTGTAACTTGGCTGGAGTTTTGTATTACTTTCCTTTAATAAAATCGGTTCATTCTTTTTGAATAACCCTGTATAATTACATTCAACAACTCGAATACACTGGACAATTAAAAATAAAGATACTATTGATGGGGTCCAAATTTTGTCATCATAGATTGAAGAAATTACACGCTGTGAGATGGCATGAAGGACAATACAGTCTTGTTACATATAGCATTACAAAAGGTGTGCATTCATCGATGCTTCCAGCATCTCAGACTATATAGCATCAAATGACAGGATGCCTACTGAATGATAAACCGAAAAGATACTGAGGGCCAAATTTGAGGCAGTACACTGCTATATGCCTAGAGAGACTGAGGAAAACCACGGGAAAGCAATCAAGACATCTGTTCTCTGGGCCAACATTTGAAGATAGGCCTCTCAAATATGAAGCAGGAGGCAACTCACTTAACAGCAGCATTTTGTGGTAGGGGGGGGAAGGAAAGCTATCCCTGTAACAGGCCATGAAGGCCCATAGGGTTGTGAGACGTTGAGGGTCCCACATTATCAAGACTATCGGCTCACAGATGGTGGTAAGGGTGTCAGCCTTACGCGCCGGCCGCGCTTTACTCCCCAGGAAAATTATTTAATTAATTCCTGGTACTCATTTCTGTTAGAGGTTGAGGCTGAGTGCGGCTGGAAGGATTAGGCCAATTGAAAAAATCCAGTGACCTCATCGTGAAAAGAAGTTCTAAAAATGTTTTTGTGCCATATGGGCTCATAGTACTGCAGACCTAACTCTTAATGTTATCACTTGAAAATTGCATATATGCTTGAACTTCCAGGAGACAACATCTTTATATTTTAAGTTTAAGTTTAAGTCTACTGAATGGGAACTGGGGAAATCCATCAGTTTCATGATGTAAATTGTGTATGACAAACCAAAATCAGTTTTAAATACAATATTCTTATATGTGATATGAGATTCTCACAGCAATGAATGTTCTGAGATGTGACACTGAGAAGTTTAGTAGACAGGAATCAACAATTCTAAGGAACTTTCTTCTGCCCCAAAGATGGCAGCAGCAGGTTGCTCCAAAATGAAGGTACCTATCAGACTACAGAGAGTCACATTCCTGAAGCTCATAATCTTAATAGTAGCCATGTTGGCACATAGAAAATTCACGAATTACACCTGACTTGCTGAACATGAAGAGTTGGTAGGGAAACAAGAAATACAGAATATTTAAGAGAAACTCTCTTAGAAGGCAGCTACTCTACAAACCAGGTAGGAAGAGAGAGGACATAAGGATGAAATGAGGCTGACAACAGGTCTGACCTGCCTCAGGATCGTGTCCAATTTTAAGTTTTGGCATTTAATAGCATATATGTTAATATAACTAGCACATACCACACAAGTTCCATAATGCACATGTGCCACTGTAGTGATGACTGCCAGAGCATACAGCATGGACAGCTCAGCGGAGGCTCCAGTGGTGGATGGTAACATTAGAGAGACAGCTGTGACAAGGCCAACTGGTATTATCAGCCAGTTGAACAGATCACAATGCACTGATGACATTTGAGACACTATCAGTCGACACTGCAGAAAAACAAAGCCTATCAGAAAGTAATCAAATATTACATCTATATATATGGTTACATTTCCTTGTGTGGACGTGGGTTAGAATACCTCCACCATAGCCCCGCAAGTTGTAGAAGGCAACAAAAAGGGGACCCAGTACCTAGCGGTATAAATGGGCCACTCTGTCACTGGGGGACATAAGTACAGAGACCCGGTCCTCCAGATAAGGAGCAGGACACAAGGCTGACATCCTTGCTCGGTAAAGAAATTATTGTCATGAAATCCAAAGAAGTGGGAACCGGACTGTAATCTGGCAGAACCTTCTAACGAAGGCTATGGCTCAAAATCAGTTGCTCTGCCAATGATAATGATGTGGTTACATTAACACTTTAAATACTGAGCAGCTTGGCATAGCAGTTATACTCTTCACTCATATTCACAGGGTGCTCAATTCTAATCTTCACCAAACCATTAGCTACCCTGAGTTTTTTTATTGTTTTCCTCAGTCCCTCCAGGCAAATGCCAGGATGAAGGGTACAGAAAGATTTCAGCATACTAACTTGATACTAACTTGGCATTCACACGATCTGAATCAGGGACTTCACACGTAGAAACCAGATTGCAAAAATTACAACATAGTAGCATTTTTTCCCAAACAGTGGTTTGAGGGGGAGAAGGATGTGCAGTACTGAAAAATTTACACATCAGACATTTAAGCGCACACACACACACGTGAAAGGATAAACTGCTGCTGAAATTCATTACCAACTTGTTTCTGTTTACAGCGAACATGAAAGATCTGAATAGGCAAAATGGTGTTGTGAATTTGAAGCGGGAAGTGATGTTCATGATGAAACAAGGAGTGGAAGGCCATCTGTTGTTGCTGATAAAATCATCTAAAAAATTTATGAAAACGTTCGTGCTGACAGACGTTTAACCATCGATGAACTTCACCAACAATGTCCAGAAGTGTCAAGAACTGTTCTCCATAACTTGTTACAAAAAGATTTGGCTGTCGGGAACTGTGCGCACGTTGGGTGCCGAAAACGTTGGCAGATGATCACAAGAAAAACTGAGTGGCTGTGGTGCAGGCATTCCTTGCGCATTACGGGGATCAAGGTGACGACTTTCTGGACGGGAGATGAAACTTGGGCATCTCATCACACACCTGAGAATAGGCAACAATCAATTCAATGCTGCCACACAGACTCACCAACAGAAAACAAAATCACCATAAAACCAAAAAATCATGGCAACCATCTTCTGGGACAGGAAGGAGCCACTTCTTACAAAATTCTTTCCTCAAGGATACATCATCAATGCTGCTGCTTACTGCCAGATGCTGAAGAAACTGTTCTGGGCTATTCAAAACAAGCGGAGAGGAATGCTGACACAAGGAGTCAGCTTAATGCACAATAACACCCGTCCATACACTGCTCACACCACGCAGTTGTTGCAGCCTTTCAAGTGGGAAGTATTGGCCCATCCACCCACAGCCCAGACCTTGCACCAAGCAACTATCACTTCTTTTCTGAATTGAAGGAAAGTCTGCCTGGAAAGAATCCTTCGGACAATGATGAGGTTCAAGACACAGTGATGACATGGCTAAGAGGATTTCTATTACACTGGAATAAAAAAAACTCGTTTCAGGCTCACTAAGTGCATTGCAATCAATGCTGACTAAGTTGAAAAATAAATAAAGGTGTTGTAAAAGTACTATGTATCAGTCAATTCAAGAAAAGAATGCTTTGCAAATATTTTCTGGATTTTGTATCTTTACTTTCCACATAACCTTCATAATTTTTACAGCAGCAAAAAACTAATAAGTCTCTTACTGCTGCTAAAATACAGTACATACATAAACACAACACCTCACTGTTAAGTTTGGACATCCCAAAAGACACTTCTACTAATCTCAAAAGAAATGAAATGACATACACAAAAAGGGCATTGCTTTGTGAGTGGGAGTAACTAGAAATTACTGGAGAAAGATGGAAGAGTCTGTTCACTGTAAATTTAATCCTATGTCAGCATATGAATATGGTTCTAAAAGGTCTGGATACACCACTGGATGAAGTACCATCATCACTGAGCATGAAATATTAAAAATATAGCTCCTCATCTGATTGTTTATTTCAATGCATGGTTCTAAAATGTAGATAAATCGGATACTATTAAAATAATATATTTCCAATAACATAATAATAACTGATTTTGTCAGTTCTTAGAATTGTACATATAGGTATAACAATTATGACAGTCTGCTCTGATGAAACAACAATCTGCCCATGGTTTTTTCATGGTGGAAGCAGTCACAGGTCCATCAACTGAAAAGCATAAGAAGCCTTTCAAGGGTGGTGAAAAACAAACTATTGCAATGTGTCTGATGAGTTTTCAGGAAAGTGCAAATTGTCTGAACTGACGTCAAAATTCATGGGTGTTTCTGTGCCAAGTATTTTTGATCTGTGTAAAGAATAAGACTCCAGCAAACTAACAACTCCCAGTAAGGAAGGTAGAAAGAAGGAGTGTACTCAGACATGATGATTTTGTTAAAACAGCTATCTGTTCTAAGGCAAGTATTTTTTTATGCAAATGAACCACCTACAATATATAAAGTGCTGGCATCTGTCAACAGTGATGGCGATTTTCACTTCTTCAGTACAACTTTTTAGATACTTCTGCTAGATACAAGGGTCAAGTTTCAAAAGAGAAAGAAGTTGAATGCTGTCACTGGTACAGATTAAATTATTTTGTGGGGGATGTTATTTAAGGTCAGTGCATCAATTTAGAATTAGGCCTCTATATTATCGTAGAATATTGGAGGTGAGAGGCTAATTATTTTCCACAATGGCAGTATTGATAGACTTCTGGCATGAAGATTACTACTTTCTGAATAAAAGGAGAGGGGGGACTACCAAGAAAACAGGAATGGTGACATGTTTCAGGAGTGGTGTGGGAAAATTCTGTCAAAATTAGATCCAGGCAGTGTCACTGTGATGGAAAATATCCCTTTTCACAATGCTAACATTTGTCAATCCACTATGCAGTAGCACAACCAGGATATCAATTCAAGTGCTATGAAAAATGAACTTCTGGGGTTGGTTGATGCCTGTGATGGCGGAACTGAAGTCTGCTTGTACCAGTTCTCACAGTCTCTTCGCTTGCGGATTATTTATTTTTCCATCTACCCTGAAGATGGAGGCGATACATTCCTCTGAAATGTCAGTTAACACCACATCTACACAGTGCCACATCCCACAAGACTGCTTTCTTCATAGTCACCACCGTGAAAACCTCAAATCTTATATATATTATATCTTTTTTTTTTTACTATAACTTGGGCACACAGCAATTATTGACATTTTGATAAAAATTCCAAATAAAAGATTACAAATATGTCGATAGTTTAATCATCTATAATGCTCATATAACTAATACTGATAACACTTTGTGCGAATTCAACAAGATACACCCCAAAATTAAATTTACTATGGAAAAATAAACAACAAAATCAACTTTCTAGATCCATCGAAAAAACACATAATAATTTTCAATTTGGAATTTATAGGAAACCCACAACTACCGACTTATTCACAATGACTCATGCCATCCGTATGAACATAAAAGAGCCGCAATAAATTTCCTCATCAATTGCATGAATAAATATCCACTTTCACACAGCAACAAAAACAATGAAGAAAACATTATTAGAACAATACTTAATAATAATTACCCACAAGACACCATACAGCAAATATAGAAACCCTATGTAAAGAACAATACGCACAAGAAAATTTGGACCACCTTTACCTTTTTCAGGCCCGAAACTAGAACATTTAGTAAATTATTTAAGAATATTGAAGTTTGTATCTCATTTATAACTAGTAACAATATCAAACACTTAGTGAGAATGCATGAAAATACGAATGGTAAATTTAACTTAAGCGGAGTATACCAATTACAGTGTGCAAAATGTACACAGAAATATATAGGACAAACTGGGCGTACATTCAAAATTAGATTTAAAGAACACATAAGAGACATAAAGAATGGTGGACCAAATTCCAAATTTGCCCAGTACATAGCAGACACTATCCACGAATATTGAACAATAGATTAAACTATGGACATTTTGTACATCGGAAAGAAAGGGCGAAGGTTACTATGAAAGATTTCATATATACGAAATCAGCAAGCAAAACATCCAGTTGAACGACAATTTTACCGAAACATTTAACCCAATATTTGACACAATAATTGCAACCTACCAAATATAAACACTGCCTTACACTCATCCTACATTCACCACACCTCCACCCCCCTCCCCCACCAACACAGCATTCCATAATGACACACATCCCAAATCAGTTGTAATCTATCTCTCTGTTAGATCAGACATTTACACAAGAAAGTTGCCTGTCAAATAGTAAGTAAACTACATAACCATAATAATTCAATCAATACCATAAACAATCACTAAGTAATTCAATAATAGTTACCAATGGTATATTATACGTACTTCCAGGTCTCAAATATTAAGTAACATACAACATAACAACGGATCTCCGAACACCACATCAGCCACTGTGTATGTATATATATATATGTCTGCATAAACATTATATATATAGAAGGCTGCAATGCGATCTATGAGGTCAGAGTTGGATGAGACAGTCCAACATAGAATTGAAAACATTTTTGAGATCTTTGAACATGGTAAACGGATTCTCCAGTCGGAACTGAGAGGATTAAAAAGACACAAGAAAAATTACGGATGGCAGAAGTGTCCCTCGATACATGGATAAGAAATTTCCAGGAAGAACTAACGAAAACCTGTGAGGCAATTGAAGAAACCAAACGCGAGTTCCAGGCCTGGTTGGAAGTAGTACAGATGAGGATGGAGTGAAGAATCACACCCACAGTCAACGTGGGCACAGCTTGGCCACGACATTTAACGGCAGTTCAATGTGGAGCGTGTTCCGGTGACAGTTCGAGACCGTAGCAGAACACAACGAAGT